ATTTAAAAAAAAAGAATAAATAATTCATCCCCAAATGCTTTCTTTGTTCCCAAAGCTCATAGCATTGGCTGCAAGAAAAGGTTTTGAACCAGGGCTTGGAAATTCTGTATAAGCATTAGCCTTACCAGAAACTATATATTTCTGTTTTCCTCTTCTTCTGTACAATGCTAATGATATAGACCTGGGGTATCCAATAAAGTAGCTATAAGCCATACATATCTACTCAGTGACTGAAACATTACTGGTCCAAACTAAGATTATATGTGAGGATTAAATATATAGAGAATTTTTTAAAACTTACTACCAAAAAAAGAATGTAAAGCATATCTCACTATATCTTAATAGTGATCACATGTTGAAATGATAATTTTGGGGTATGCTGAGTTAAAAAAAAAAACTATTATTAAATTTAGTTCCACCTCTTTCTCAACATGGCTATTTTTTCCCTATGATATATGCGACTCACATTGTATTTCATTTGGACAGCACTGACCTACACCATTCTGAATTACTATCAGAGCTCTGATTCTCTTTGTGGAAATAGAAAATTACAATCCTAACATACCTTGTATATAGAATATAGACATACCTTGTATATAGAATTTATGGAGACAGCAATAAAATCATCAAACATATCTCATTATGTATACATTTTGCTAAACACATTGCAAAAAGATATAAAAGAAAAAGTTTAGGCAGCATTTCTCATCCTCTTGAAACAGTTATGAGACTGAATATGAATGTTGAATCAAACCATCTAAAATTTAAATTTTGCTCCTACCCCAGGCTCACCATTTATACAAAAAGGAATGCAAATAATCACTTTTTATGTTATAGATTAAAGATTAAAATTTCATTGAGCATAGAATGAATGGAAAAGATACAGGCATTGGATATGTTGAGGCAGGAGCTGGAGAGACACTGAGATAGAAATGTTCTTTAAGGAAGTAGGAGTCTCAGTCAGGAGACCAATAGAGAAATGAATAGATTAAATTACCCCCACAAGGTAACAGCAAAGAATTAAAAACTTAAAAGCACAGAAAATACTGTGGATTGAAGCAAGTAAGAAAATTAGTGAAGCTATGTCCAAGTGCAGAACCCAGACCCCACTTAAAAGAGATAGTTCAGTTCAGCTACAGTGTATTACTTCTATGAAGTATTAGTTTTAATGGAACAATGTTGCCAGATCTCCTTATTTTTAAAGAGAATATAGAAATTCAGATTTTTTAACCTTAGAATTTTTAGAGGCACTTATTCTAGATTAAGTCCATGAAAAATTATTTTAATATATATGTCATGTAGAAGATCAACAAGTTAAACTCTTAACTCTGATCACATGGAATTTAGTTAGTGGAGATCACATGTGAAACAACCAGCAACCCCGAAACAGGTGAGCTATCAATGTTGGAAAGACAGATTTACCTCTCACTTCACTTTGTTCATCATGAAGCAAGAACACAATTTTATCCACAGCAACAGTTACCTCAATGTTTTCTTTCTTTTTCTCCTTTAACCTAGCCTGGATATTGTATAGAAAGTTTCAAAGAGCTCTACAAAAGCACTTGGAATCTGCAGTAGATATATGACATATAGTTCAAGGTGTTATTCTGGCTATTATTCACTGCCTGTTTTAGGTCTCTCTGTAATACTGTCTGTTTCCATTTCAGGCACTTTATGCTTTATTTACCCATTTCATGTGGGTAAATAACTTACCTTATTGTGCAAATGTATTTAATCTGTGAATTTAAAAGAACTGACTTCCAGAAAAAATTTTAAAATCTTATACTTTAAAAAAATACAGTGATCTCATGATATCTATTGTAAGGAGTAAAGGGATTTGTACCTGAAAAATTAAAATTACAGAAGCTACTCATTTATCAAGCAAGTGGTTCTTAGAAATATGCATTTTAAAGAGGATGACTTTCCAATGAACATTTTAATTTTAATTTAACCTTCCCAGAAAATGAAGTGCTCTGTGTAGATTCTTTTGGTTTTATTTAAAGCATAAAAATTAGTTCTGAGCTGTGATAATTGTGGGCTTAGGAATGTAATCATTCTAAGCACCACTTCTGACTTGCTTATAAGCCCTCCAGATCTTGAGTTGCTGTTTATTGCTAATCCAAAATTGGCAAGTTACTTAATTGTGAAACTGAACTTAAAGTTAGGGTGTGGTGGGATGGTTGTAGGTAAATTACTTTGTTTTGCTTTAAGTAAACCTATGAGATAAGCTTCTGTATTTGTACTTCTCTGTTACTCTTCTTCATTAAAATGGGAATGACTATAGATTCTAAGAAGAGAATAACATATTACATTAAATTAGGTCTTGACCGTATTAAAACCAGTCACATATAAGATAGACAATAACAGTTTCTGTCACCCATATTTATTATTTTGGTCTGAACAATTATTTCTTTGTTGTTGCTATGAGAATTCAAACTAGGTACTACTGCTTGTTTTTGTTTTTGTTTTTTTTAATTAAAGGAAAATAAGGGGCTGTGGTCATAAGAAATCCTAGTCTCCACAATATACCAGGTAAAGTATTTCTAAACATATAAGATTCATTTGTGTGAGTCCACAATTACTCACCTACATCAATACAATCAACATCAACTAAATTGCCATGTAGCATTTTTTCTTCTTTTTAGAGGTTTCTTGAAGTGCTTTAAGAAAACATTAATTTATACATACAGCTGGGATCATTAGAATTGTGGTTTCCTTGAAAAAAGCTATGATTTTCAAACACCACTATGGCTAAATATTATAAAAATTCAGATACCAAAATCACTGAAAATTAACTGAATTAAACTTTTGGTAAATACTTGTAATTAGTGTGATTATTAATTTTTAGAAATTTAAGAAAAAGATACAAATGTCACCTAATTTTACCTTTACCCAAATTTCCATTTGGAAATCAATTAGAAATTAACTACTGCAATATTTGTAATGCACTTCTCACTCTCCTGGAGTTAAATGGACACAACACTGACCCATGTTACTAAGTCAGACCTCAAGATGCATTTTGTAGGAGCCCTTTGGTCTGTTATTGCCATTCTTTAATTGTCCACTCAGACAGTAAGAATTCAGTGTACTATCAGTGCCTTCCTGGACTTTAGGGACACAACAATAATCATGGCATTACACTGCTCTCAAATCTTCACAGTATTCTTCACTCAGCATCAAATGATTCATAACTAGGGAGATTGCCACAGATTACAATAGTAGATAATAAAATGCTAGCACTATAGGTAGTTAGTTTGCTTCCTTCTAGAAACTGTCGAGTTTTGATTATATTTTTAATTTTAAAGAAAATTTAAAACTGTATTAAAATCTTACTTCAAATTACTCTAAAATAAAAATATAATTAATAAAATCATAGGTCACCATTCTTCTGAGAAAGCAGAAAACCAAATGCTCTTCCCCAAGAAAGGAACTAAATGGAATGTAATATTGCATTACTTCTTTGCATGGAAAACTATGACAACAGGGAGACACAATTACTTCATTTCCTCAAATCTGCTTTGTTCATTGACAGCACAGGAGCTATCTTGAGATCTGCCACTACAACTTTGGAGTAATGCACCTTCTCCAGATAGCATCATGAATGCAATGCTATCTTACGCATACCCTGTGGACAGGTAAAAGGACAAGCCCCCACCATCAGACTAATAAAGAAATTATGGGCCCTCCCTGGTGGCGCAGTGGGTTAAAGCGCAGCACTAAGAATCTCAAGCCACTTCCCCATGAGTTCGATCCCCGCCTGCCCCGGAGGTGACCACATGGCGCGGCAGACCTCTCCTGACCCGCCCGCTGCTCCCCTCAGCAGTGTACTTCGTTGATCTGCCTGTTCTGCTCCCCACTCTGTCCTGGTGAATCCTCTCACCCTCCGCACCTCTGGCCTGTACCCCAGTTCTGTATGAATAAATAAATAAATCTTTTAAAAAAAAAAAGAAATTATGCACAACTCATGTTTCTGACAAGATCATCCAACTTAACAGTTTTTTAAAAAACTAAAATGTAACTGAGGCCACACTGGCAACATACATGTACTACACTAACAAACATTCCATGTTCACAAATATTCAGCTTCATAGCAACAGCGTTCTGGGACAGTCAAGGACAAATTCACATTTTTAAAAATCAAAGTGAAGTTATCATATTAATAGGAGAGTCGAAAGAATCATAGCTAAACATATCTCAACAGTCTATTGTTTTGTAGAAGTAGTTTCTTATACAAAAGCCAAAAATTCAATTAATTGTTTTGCTCCTTAAAGACCTGTATCCAAGTTTTGTTGGTCAAAGCAAGAAACAGTAAATCCTAGTAGTCTAGAAGACAATTTCTAGTTGCAAGAGGTCTCCCCTACGGTGTCATTAATTACGGTGTCAAAATTAATGCAACAATCACATAATCTCCAAAATTAGAAAAATAGGAGACTTAAAACAGATGTTCCATCAAGAGCCACTCAAACATTAAAACAGCATCTGAAAATGGTTCATGATAAAACCTAATGTCTTAATAGCTGAAAGAAACTTATGGGGAAGACTAGGCCACCAAAGCAATTCTCCTCTAATATCTCCAGAAAAAGAATATCAATATTTTTATTCAACAATCTACATTTCTGCCATCTGTTAAAAAAAAAAAAAAGCAGACCTCAGCATACTAGACCAGAAATTCCCTTTGGCATCAGTTTATCAAGCTGAGAGGGAACAATGTACTTCCTCATTTTTCACATGTACTTTACTGCAGCTCACTAAGTTCCTTCCACTCCTGATAGGTTCACACTTTACTCATTTCTATTTTTGTCCTTACACTAGAGTATATGAGTTTTTGACTCTGCTATAAGTGACTAGCAGTTAGTGAACCCCTTTTTAGCTCTGGGTCTGCTATTTATTAAATATGTGAGCTAGAGTACGTGGACTAACTCTGCTGATCCTCAGCTTTCAATGTTCTATTCTTAAAAAGCAAAAATAAAAAAGATTAAAAACAAACAAAAACAACCTACCACACTTCCCTGGAACAGCAACTGTAAACCTCCAAAGAAGAATGTGTAGAAGGGTTTCAAAAACTGGGAAGAAGCAGAAAAAAATGAACATTATTACTATGATCATATTTTCAAACAACATAACTTGAATGTCAGATATAATAGCCTGTATCTGATTATTACTATAAAAGGACAAAAGACTCTCAGCTGAATTAAATCTCATATAACATCTATGGCAAAAAAAAAAAAAATATATATATATATATTACTTTACCCATTTTGCAGATTAAGAAATGAAGGTTAAAAAGGATTAAGGGACATACTCCACCATAAAATGTTTATATATTTAACAAGTCAACTTTCAAGATAAGCTCCTGGTTCCATAATTTTAATACCCATGACAAGACCATAAAGGGCTGACACTATAAAACACTAACCAAATATGCAAGCCATCATTTACTTTTCTATTTTTTTACAAGCCATTATTTTCTAAGGACATATTCTAGATAAATACTTTTTTTTGGGGGGGGGAAAGAGTAGCAGTTTTTAAAGGGTTTTATATGCTATAGTATCAGGAATATATCTCAAGCAAAAATTTGGACATTCATAAGGACTTTAAATAAACTGAAATAAACTGTTAAGTTAAACATTGTTAGGATGTGCTTTCTCATTAAATTTTTCTCAATATTAAATTATTTTCTTGGAGGGTGTTTGCAACAAGTAGATGGTCAGAGCTCAACTATTTATTCTCTTACACAGGTGTTCTTAATTTTATTAAAGTCTACTGTTATTGAACGCTGCCTACCCTCTATTTTAGCCCATTTGAACCATGCCATGGCTCAGAAAGAAATATGAGACTGTACCTGGCTCAGATGCAAATTCTCAAGATATCGATATAGTAAAAAGTCTGACTAAAATATGAATATGTGTTTTATCACTCATCAATGAGGAAATATTCTCTATAGGAATAGTTAGGTTTCTTAATTCATTTATATTTCTATTAGGCTTACAAAAATTCAATTTACTCATATCATTAGATACACATTTACTGAATATCATCAACTATACAATATCTTCATAACTTTTTAAAGATGCAGTGGACTTATATAAGTTTCTTCTATAGTTCACTATAATTCAGATAAAGAAAATTCTAAATTAGTGAGCAGTGGCATGACTTTAGAATGCCTTTGAAATCACGGTGTAGTTAATTTGGAAGTACTGTGGGAAATAAATCAGGAGATATGTGGAAAAGTAACTAATTCTTGGTGCATACTACCTTTGTACATTGCAATCAGTAGGTGGGAGAAAAAAGTTTAAAGATAATGATACTGCCACTACCATGTTTGGTTATGAATGTCCAAATTAAGCAAAGAAATTCAGACAAGAGTGTCACATGGAGAACACAGTGGCAGAAATCAGACACCTAATATGCAAGAACTAAATATTACCAGCGACTATAGAAGATAGGATTGCAGACTTGAGTAAGCGTGGTGAAACAATAATCTTTAAAACAGTCTGTGTTTGGTGACAGTTCTTCATAAAAACAGATGGTACCAAGAATCTAAAAGGCTTTTTAAGTTATGGTTCTCAGGTTCTAGAGTTCAAAAATTGGGGAGAAATGTGGAACCTTAAGAAAGTTGTTTCTTTACTTAGTGGAGTTTTCCATTGTAAAAGATATATTTCTTGAATAACTATAGTGCTATTATTGCTACATTTTTAATGAAATGATTTTTTAAAAGCATACCAGATGATATGCTACTTATTTTCAAAGCCTGAACTAGGAGAATGAAAGTTAGGATGCTTTGCATCTTGCAATATGATGGAAAGAACTTTGGAATCCTCTCAATGGCATAGCAAAGCTAAATTCATTTCCTGGGCTGTCTTTCAAATCTTTCTTGGCTCTTTTCACCTCTGTTGTCATCGCTCTCTCCAGGTATAATACATGAGCAATGCTGCAAAAATCATTCTTGTTATAGTCCTCCCTTAGCAAACACTGATTCTATAAATGTCTGTGGTATCGAGTATATATTTATAGATACGTAGATATATACTCTAAAACATGACAGTCCAAGATTTTATATAATTTATTGCCTATAAATTCTATCAGAATAAACCATGCCGGTTTATACAAAGTGTATTTCTCAGTGTACCCATACCAGCTACTTGTATGTAAGCATTCTGATAACCATCCTTGACCTGCAAAGAAAAAGCTATACAATTATGTACACATATATGTGCATATATATGTACATGTGTGTCTATGTGTGTGTACACATTTGCACTGTGTACAGGAATACAAGTGTGTGTACATATTGTACACACACAATATGAAGGGAAATGCCAGTGTTAGACCTTTTATTCTCATTGAAAAGGTACTTGATGATCAGACTCACAGCATGGAATAACAGAGATACTTAGATCTTCCTCTGCCCTAAACAAAATGATGTCGAATGAAATTTGTTAAAAGGAAGTTTTGGAGGTTTATCAACAGAGATATAGGGTTTCCCACAAAGGTTTTGGGCTGAGGCTGGTGCTTATCTGTGGAATCTGAGGAGAAAACCACAGCTAGCAGGGCAGATAATCTAGGCTGCTAAAAGTCTGGGAGTATTCCAATCTTCCCAATTTATTCCAGGGGCATAAATTTTATCAGAGATACTTTTTCAAGAAGGAGTGACACAGACAACTGTACATACAAGCAGGAAGACAAGAGTTTTTGATTCCCCCATTCCTTTCCTGGCCTCACCAGCTGCCAAAGATGAAAAAAGAAAAGAAATAAAATAAACAAAACCATAACAATCTAATTGCAAGAAAGCAAATAAAGCATCACTCATGCCTAGAAAGCAAGGATTATATGAATACAAGATGGATAAGCAAAAGGAGAAGAACAGAAGTCCAGGGACATATATAAAGGAAACAGAAATAGAGGACTTAACTGACAAAGATTTTAGAATAACAATTTTTAAAATACTAAATGAGATACTAAGCATACAGTCAAACGCAGAAAGGAGATACAAAAATAAAAAGAGTTCTTGAATAAAGAGACTGAAGGTAATAAAAGAACACAAAAAGAGACACTAAATGAAATAGGGACAAATATGGAAAGTGATTTAAATGGAATTAATTTGGTTGGAGGGAGAATCTCAAAAATAGAACATACAGGAGGGTGTGTGAGGGGGAGAAATAGAAGATACAAAAGTCATATCTACTAAATGAAAGAAGAGTGAGATATAAGATTTAAGGGGGGAAATGAGACATACTATGAGAAATAGTGAAAGAAACATAAGGATGTGTATTCCAGAAGGTGAAGTGAGAGAGGAGTAAAAGCAGCCAGTCAACAAAATAACCTATTCAAAACAAATAAAACAAACCTGAAAGAACAACCAAAGCAAACAACCTTCACCAACACACATCAATGTTACATTATCAAAGGTCAAACGTGAGCAAAGTGACAGCAGGAAAACAGAAGTATAAACAAGAATAGTATGAGACAACTAGCTACCCTGGTGGCTCAATGGGTTAGAAGTCAGCACTGCAAGCTTTAGTGCAAGCTCTATCCCTGTCCCCAGAGGTGATCCTGATGGTCACCAGACCTCTCCCGCTGCTCTCCTCAGCCATGTACTTCATTGATCTAACTGTTCTCCTCCCTAGTCAGTCTCTGGTTAAGTCTCTCTCCACACTTGCACCACTGGTCTGTATGTAGTTCTGTATATATAAATAAATAAATCTTTAAAAAAAAAA